CTAACTTAAAATAAGAAAACCGCCCAGGCTTTCTGGGGACAGAGAATCCCCCCACCCTTGGTGGGGTTGAAAACCTGTTTTTCCAAGGGCCCCCCCCCCCCAGTGACTCGGCAGCCCTCAGCCAGCAACACAATTGATACAAAATTCGAGATGTATAAATTATTATCTAGGTAACCATGTCAAGTGTTAAAAGTGCCAAGAGTAGGGAAAGCACTGGGAATGCCTGCACTGTGCAAAGTGCCAATGCCCTCTTTCACAGCTCCTGCTGCTTCATTTTGCAGCTTGGCCTAGAAAGGTGAGTGAAGTCTCTCCAGGAGGGGGAATAAGGACAGCTCCAGTTACTCGACCTTCATGACACAGGAAGTTGAAAGTGGCACAGGCATTAGGCTGCAATGAAAATACCAGAATTAGCCTGCCTGGGGCTAGGCCTGGGTTCTAGGTAGAATTTCCAAGTCCTGGGACCTACCGTGTCCTGCACTTCCACAGCGATGCCCCGTTGCCTCATGGCCCGTAGTATCTGAGAGCACAGCCGCTCAGTCTTGTTTCCAGTCCCCACCACAACAATCTCTAGAGAAGGGAGGGACAGAAGCCAAGTCGTTCAGGGACCGAGATGACCACCTGGGACTCCAGCTCCGCCCTACCCACTCCCCCATACCTATCCTGGGCTCCAGCATCCAGAAAAGAGAGAGGCTCTCTTCAGTGATATCCTGGTGGGATCCCACCTGTACAGGGGCAAAAGCCATTTAACACGACAAATCTACGCAGTCTTTACCCCCAGTACACTAAAGGACAACCGCAAAGCTAAGTTTTCCAGAGACACAAGCAGGGACAGGACTTGTGACTCTAGGCTTCAGTTTCCTCACTGCGAGGTGGGGCTCACGTTCCACTGCACCACCGAGTGCGGGAGCAGCGCGCACGGCCCAAGTACGCGGTTTCCGTTGACCGTGAAGCCGCGGCTGTTGTAGCTGTCGATGTACATGGTCTGATGACCCTCGCGTTGCAGCAGAGAGATGTGTGTTCGCTGGTACAGCTCGTCATCCACCGGGGACAGCCGGTGCCCTCGCCGAGGGGCCCTGCTGTGGAAGGGGAGGGTCAGGGGCGCTTGGCCAGGCGGTATCCCTCTGGCGGGCGGACAGGTCCGGGAACCAGATGGTTAGGGGCGGGGCAGGGGGCTCACCATAGCCGGTCCACGTGCGGGTTATGCGGCGCCGGTCGCGCTCGATACAGACAGCGAAACGCAAGAGCACCCGCCATAGTTGCCGGGCGCGTAGTGATTGGGTCGCAGGGTTGGTGGGAAGGTAGTGGAGCCTGGCCCCGCGTCGCTACAGCGCCCCCTGCGTCCCGGAGGGCGCCACGCAACCTGGTCGGCGTGGGGGGATATGGACATCGGTCTCTGTAGGCTCGGTCCCCCGGTGCGGTTCCCGAGTCAGCACCTGCCGCCCGCCCCGCCCCCAGCCCCGGTCGACCGTCCCTAAGGAGCGGGGACACCTGGTCGCACGGCTGTCCTCAGGGCATTGTCTAGGCCAGGGGCACGGCCTGGCCCCGGGCTTCTCATCCATTATTCAGGGCTCTGGGGGACCTGGGGCGGGGCTGCTGCGCACCTGGTCCCAATGAGAACACCTGGCCGGGGTGTGGCCAGCCTCCAGGCCCCTAATCCCAGGCTTTGGGGTGTCGGACTCAGTGGGCGGGGCAGGTGGCTAAGGTTTCTCGAGATAGTCTCGAAATCTCTGCCCTCCCCAACGGTCAGCCGCGCGACCGTTGGCGGCGGCGCGGCGCTCCTTGAGAGGCGTGGCCGAGCGGGGATTGGCTTCGAGGGAGCACGAGGGGGTGTGGCCAGATGATTGCTGCTTAAAATGGCTCCAAGTCTGCGGCCAGCTAGAGCCAGCGGAAGGGCACGCCGTGTCAATGTTGGTGTAGCTGTTCGGGTGGGACTGACCTGGCCGAACCGGACCAGACGTGAAGCAGACAGCGCCTGGAGCATCGCCCTGCCCTCTCTCGCTCTGCATGCGCGGCCCGAGAGTCTCCCTCCCCCTGTCTTGAGCCGAGTCTAGGGCCTAGTGGCGCAAGAGTCGCGGGCGCCGCGCGGGGCTCGGGCATCTCCGCGCACCGCTTCTGTCGTGGCCTCAGGGGAACACTGTCGCGTTCGCTCTCCGCAGGGCTGGATGGGTTGGATGCTCGGCGTAGTCGGGACTTGGTTGTGGGTCTGTCAGGGCTGGTTGCAGTGGGTTTTCGGGGTCTCTGCCGCTGCTATGTGGGCCCATTTGGCCCCTGGCACTTAGTGAGCTGGCAGCGTCACCGGACAAAGGGCCCCGAGCCTGGGGGTGTCCCCCAAGAGGACGCGCGGGTTTACTTCCTCTCGGGTCCCACGGGAGCACTTCCCTTTTGGCGGATTCGGAAGCCCGCCCCGCCACCATCACCTCACCAGTGGCTCCTGCTGCGTGGGACCGACAGGGCTAATCCTGCCCTTCTGATCTAATCCGGATCGGGACCTGGTCCCAGGGGCGGTCCCCACCTTCTTTCCTATTGTTCTGGGGCCCAGGTGAGCGCCTCATTCTCACTAGACTGGATTACACCTCCTACTCCTCTCTACCCACTGGGAAGGGATGGGCGGGTTCCGGTTTATTCCCAGGGCAAGTGACCTGGGGGCAGAAGCCCTCCTCCAACGGCTGGACAGCGGGCAACGGAATCCCAAAAGCAGCTGTTGTCTCCAGAGCATTCCAGCTGCGCTTGGATTTCGTTCCCTGCTCTCCTGCCTGAGCAGCGCCCTGGCCCAGATGAGGTGGTTTCTGCCCTTAAACACACTACAGGGCCATTCTGGTCTCCATCTCTCATGTGCGCCCTCAGGCTGATGGTGGTAGGCAGAGACGTCGAAGAGCTCGGGCTGATGGACCCCTCTGGACCACCCCTAACACCCCGGAGAACATTGAAGAGGGAGGTTCTGGGTCCTCTCAATGGGGCTTCAATGGCCGCGAGTCCCACAGGGCCTCCCAGCCCACAGCTCGCTAAAGATAGCCCTTCACTTCCTGGGGAAAACCCACCCCAACCGTCTTCACGGACGGAGAATAGCTGAAGTCGCCAACTTGCTGGTGGGCCCCTAACCCTATTAGCAGCTGTGCCCACAGCATGGAAAGTGCTTTGGAATGACACGATCACTCCCGTTGAGTGGGCACCAAAGAAGCCATCGGGAATGTCGTGTCCGCCCAGTGCTCTTTCGGCACCTCCCAGCAGGGCCTTACAGTCCTGAACCAGAGAGAGGAGCCTTGCCAAACTTTTCCTATCCCTAGATTTCCCTTCTCTCTAGAGCTGTGAGCACTACCATTGCTCCAGAGCAGAGTCAGATTCATTGTCCATTGGGGAAGGGGAAACAAGTTACACTGAAATTGAAGCATTTGGACAGAGGAAACCTTTCCTGCAAGATGCCCCAACTGAGGTCTGCTTAGCAGAGTCTTCTCATCATTACATTTAGTTGTCCCCAAACCGAAGTGTCAAAGGTGCTGGTAAAACCTAGGAGAAACGTTAAAGGCTAGTAATCCTGGAAAACCATCACGATGACTCTTAATTCCTCAGATATCGAGACAGGCGATTCTATCAACGTGGGCATTTGTTGAGAATAAAGACACTCCAAACCTCAAGGCGTGCAAATTATCTGAAGCTACAGAATACAACATTTTAAAAAGTAGGCCGTGAAAGTCTTTCATGCCTTATTCCATTGACAATCCGTCTGCGAGTTCTGACCTTTTAATCGTTAAATGGCGGGGGACGGGGTGAAACCACATAGGGACAAAGATGTGAGACTTCGATGACAAGGTGCCTTGCCTGTGCCACCTCCTGGTCGCGAAGATCCTTTCTCAAATTACTAATTGGAGGCCACGATGAAAGAATCCTAGCCGCAAAAAAAGGACCCTGAGATTCGGATCTGGGGATCACGAATGCAGGCAGCAGGTTGTGCGTAGCCCACTCGCTGGAGCGCACCGGCCCACTCAGGAGGGTCCACAGCCTCCACACCCGCCCTTGCCAGTCCGACTCCCGGAAGTTCTACGATAATTTACTTCCTCTTCCGGTCGCCATGGCGACAGGGCGCCTTGGGGTGGGGGAGACACTGCAGGCTCTTAATGCGGCGGTAGGGCCTGGTAACCCTGTGTGGTTCAAGGAAACACACGCCCGGCACCTGCGCGTCCGAGACTTCTTGGCGCCGCGCAATGCGCTACAGACGCACTTCAGGGATGGACAGGTGGGTGCACGCCGGGTGGGGACCTCCGGCCAGGGGTGACCGGGAAGCCGCGGCTCACCCACACGCCCATCTGCCCGTAGGTGCCCCAGAGTGTATTCCAGGCCGTCGCCTGCCTGCAGGGTCCGGGTGTAGCTCCGGTGTGGCGCTGCGCACCCACATCCGCGGGTTTATCGCTGCAGCTGCAGCGGCCCGCCGTATTCGAGCGCGTTCTGGGCGCCGTGGCCTCCTATGCTACCCCCGCCAAGCCTGCCTCATCAGGCCCGCGAGTCGTCCTACATTGCCCAGCACTGCGCTGCAGGCCAGACGCACTCCGCCTCAGCCAGCTGCGTGCGGTGCTTGTGGCCGATCATCTAGCGAGAACGCTGCGCGCTCACGGGTAAGCGCGTGCTCGAGGCCACAATGGCAAAAGATGGGACCTTTTGGGACAGCCACAGGTGGGAAGTCATGGTGATCTGGGCCTAGTACTCAGGCTAAGGCAGCCACCTTGCTTTGCAGGGTATGTGTGCGTCTAGTGCCCTCTGTGCGGGAACGGCACATGTCCACTTTCCTGCAACAACTTCGAGTGGACTGGCCCACTGCCTCGGAGAGCACAACAGAAACCCTGAAGTCCTGGATGCTTGCAGAGTTTACCTCTGTTCCTGCGGGGAAAGCACTGCCCCCTGGCGTCTTAGGCCGACTGTGCCTGAAGAAACTGGTAGAAGAGGACTGCCGGGCTGGCTATGACCCAAGCATAGACAACTGTCTGGGTAGGACAGGGGCCAGAAACCGGTAGAGTGGGTATACAGCTCTGAACCGCTGGGCAGCCTCAGCACCTTTCTGTTTTCTGTAGTGACTGAGGATTTGCTCTCTATACTGTCTGAACTACAGGAGGCAGTGTGTCATTGGCCAAAGGACAGCTACCCAGGCCTGGTTAGTGGCTCCTGTTTTGTAGACCTCTGACAAACCTGGTCTCATGCATCTTTGTAGTTAACTGTCATCATCTCTTAAGGCTGGGGACTCAGATGCCAATACAGATGGCTGCATGGTTATACACGTGGTGAGCTGTGAGGAGGAGTTCCAACAACAAAAGTTGGACCTGCTTTGGCAGAAACTGGATGACCAGGCTCCTGTCAAGCAGGTTTGTTACTGATGGTGGAACTCATCCAACCTCAGAGGGTCCTTGAAAACTCAAAGTTCTGTTAGCGAAAGGGTTCCAGGGCATGACTTTGTGGGATACAGAATTTTTAAGTTGAGCTGCTTGGTGGAGCATGCCTGTAATCCCAGCATTAAGGAGGCAGAGGGCAGACATCTCTGTGAATTGAAGGCCAGCCTGGTCTACATAGGGAGTTCCAAGCCAGCTGGGGCTACAGGGAGACCCTGTCTCAAAAAAAGAAAACAACCAAAAAAAAAACCAAAACAGAATTGTTAAGTGGGCCTGTGCAGCAGGAGCAGAAATCCTGATAGGGTCTGAAGGCACATCCTAATAGGAGCAAGCTGGACTGTGTCTTGAGGGCCTAAGCTTCAGGGAGAGATACTAAGCCTGGTGTCACAGTTTGGGGGAGTTAAGATGGAGTAGCAACACTACAAAGGCTGAAGGGTTGCAACCCCTGGGCTGAGCCCTTGCCATCTTTCACAGAAGCACCTGGTCTGTGGCCCAGTGAAAGTAGCTGGTGTACCTGGTAACCTGATGACGGCCCCTGAGTATTACAAGTGAGTAAGGTTGGGAGGAAGGCTACCCAGAGCCAGGGGTAGTTGGGATGAGTAAGGGCCTTCACTGGGACCCTGCTCACTGGCTTTCTTCTACACAAAATACAGGCTCCGACATGGTCAGGTGTACAAGGCCTCAGTATTGAAGCATGGTGGGGCTCTGGCACAAGGTAACCTGGGAGACCCTGGCTGTGCTCTTAGGCAGTGTCGGGGGCGGGGGGGGTGGGGGGAAGCAGGTCATTTATACCTCTGCCCCTTGTTACTTATCTGTAGACACTGACCAACCTATATCCCCCACCCTCAGACCCAGCCTGGACAGACACCTTTGAGATCCTCTCTGTGGCCACAATCAAGTTTGAGATGCTAAGCACAGCTCCACAGAGCCAGGTAAGCCTGGGCATAGGATTAAGGCTGAGAAGTTATGGTGTCTGTCGGTCTGTCATCTCTGCAGCTGTATTCTCATTCCCCAGCTCCTCCTGGCCAACAGCACCATCTCCACAAAGGGCACAAAGAGTGGTACTTTTGTCATGTATAACTGTGCCCGACTTGCCACACTCTTTGAGGGTTACAAGCATGGCATGGAACAAGGTCTGTACCCTACTTTTCCACTCGTGAGCAGTCTGGATTTCTCCCTGCTACATGATGAGGTGAGTGTCCCTTCTGAGCAGCTGGCACAAGCAGAAGGCTTGGACTTCCTTCCTAGCACCCTCGTTCCCTACAGGGTGAGTGGCTGCTACTTTTCAACAGTGTCCTCCCCTTCTTGGACCAGCTGAACCAGACTGTGAGCCTGGCTAGCACAACCCCAGGGCTCCACATCACTGTTCGCACAGAGATGGTGAGGCACAAAATATCAGGCATAGACACTATAAACTCTATTCTTTATTCTGGGCTAGGACACAAAAGCAAGGACAACAGTTCAATGACTCAGCCTCTGTCTCTAGGTGTGTAAGTTCCTGGTGCAGCTCAGCATGGATTTCAGCTCATACTATAACCGGGTACACATCCTAGGGGTAAGCTCACAGCAAAACAGGGTCTGTGGGAGATGCAGGGAGACAGGGTAAAGACAAGGGGAATAGTGGTTGAGACCAGCATGTCCTTTTCCTCCAGGAGCCCCGACCACACCTCTTTGGTCAGATGTTTGCCCGCCTTCAGCTTCTGAGGGCTGTACGTGAAGTGTTCCACACAGGCCTGGCTATGCTGGGCCTCCCTCCGCTGAGCCGTATCTAAGGGCCCAATAACTGGGAATGTTTTAAAAATCAACTAGAAAACAAAACCTCACAGATGTTGGGAGTGTAAAGCCAAAATAAATTGCTTCTGTTACAGTTCTGTCCTGTTGTGGAGAGTGGAGCATGGTGTTGGTCCATCTATTCAGCACTCTACTAACCTCCAGCTCTCAAGTCAGGAACCAATGGCACTACACGTCACCTCAAAGTACACTGTCACAGTTGATCCCTGCTCCACTGTCTGTGTGCAGACCGCATGCACGCCAGCCGTTTTAAGATAATTCAGTCATACCAGTTGTAAACCTCAAGCCCCTGGCCCCCAAGAGCACAGCGGTGGCCAAACTCAGGGCTCACAGGCCAGCAGTCCATGTCAGCCACATCTGGTACATGGTACACGGTGCTGTTCATGAAGGTGGGCTCACCATGCCCCAGACGCCAGAAGGTGAGCCGTTGGTCAATGGAGGCTGAGACCATGAGGCTTGGATTTAGGATCTTGAGGCCCGTCACGTGGGCAGCATGTGCACAGGGGACAGAGTATTCCTCTAGGATACGCAGTTGGGGCACTAGCTCAGCCTCAGCCTCCCCATCAGCCTCCTTATCAACCTCCCCATCAGCCTCTTCTAGCTCTGGCATCTCCACAGCAAGCACAAAGACATGGAGGGAGCCATCCTCACTGCCACTGGCCACCAGATGGTGGCCCTCAGGTGTAGGCAACGTGTGCAGACTGTTGACTCCACAGCTGTGGGCCTGGAGGGTCATGCATGGAGTGCCCAGCTCTGGAGGAAGAAAATGGCTGTTAGGTCCCTGCTTGCTTCTTGTGTAAGGATAGTGACACGTAGCAAGGGCTGCCATGGTACTCACGGTAGGGAAGGCCAGGGTGTGCTGGAGGCTCCAGGGTAGTAGAGCCACGGTCCAATGCAGTGGTGAGATCCCAGAAGGCCAGGCTGCCATCTGTAGCAGCACTGCACAGCATCTGCCTCCTAGGAGCCAGGAAAGAGCAGCTGTATCAGTGAGGGATCGAGAGCCAACAGGACCCCACACCCAACCCATGCAGAACTCTCAGCCCCTCACCTTCTCTGGTTGGGTGCCTCATGGGTAAAGGAGTGGACCTTGAGGACACACCGCTTATGGTGGAAAGTTTCAGCAAGAAGCTGCAGAATTTTTCCAGAGTCCTGCAAGAGAAAGAGCCTGGGGGGGGGGGGGGGGGAA